CCCTACACACTAGAAGATACACATTCCCTGCACACTACAAGGTATGCTACCCTTTGTGCATACGTACGTCCCTGGAGAACAGAAGACCAACAGCTTGGGGGAAGAGTTAAGATTTTTTCTCTTTTCATAAGACCACAGTCTGGTTTCACGTTTTGGAAGTCTCCAGGACTAACGAAAGCAAAAAGTACTTGTTCTAATTTGTTGAGAAATCAAATTCACAAGATTTCTCCATCCAACCTACTTCTGCCTTTGAAGGCAAACTTTTTAGTTTCCAAACACACCATGTTTAACTACAGCACGAAAGGAGCAAGGCATATAGCATCTATCCTTCCAAAAAATAATCACATCTGTTCTGGTAAGACAGATCTCCTAGGTAGAAAAGACATTCAGCAAAATCAGTCTGCAACACTTCTCTTTATTATGAGTGATCAGTACACACACACGTAGATAAATCTTCTATAAACATACCTCTAGCTCAGCTTGCAGAAGAAAGATCTCAAAAAGAAAAAAGAGAACATCACTTCATAGAGTATCCATTTCCCGATACAGGAATTTTTCTATCATCCTATGCTACCTCCTTTCAAGTTGCCACGCAACTTGATTATTTTGTAACACTCAAATAATGACTGAGACAAGCAACTTCAGATCCCTTCAACTTATTACAGCTTTAACTCCAGTGAAGTATTTTCTATTAATAAAAGGAAGAAGGGTAGATCAAGACACTAACCTCTGGCTGACAGTTTTTTGGTGTTGATGATTTTTGCAGCATATTCCTGTGATGAGCTTTTCTTTACACATCTGCGGACCACAGAGAAGGCTCCCCTAGAAGAAAAATAAGGAGGATAGGAGCTATGAAACTGAAAATGAGAACACAATAGCAGCAATTTCTATCCCCAGAGTGGACCAGATTAAGGACAGGGCAGAACACGTACAGAGGAGGGGAACAACACATGAACAGTGCATGCTGTCTGATCACCAAATAAAACCTAGTCTATATGGTACTCAAGCCTCCTGAAGACCCCTCAAGCCCCCTCACAGACAGCACAGTAAGAACAGCACACTGTGCAGGGAGAGAGAGACCATGCGGGCACAGAAACAGGACATGAAGGGATTGATGAACGGGAGACAAGCAGCCCAGATCGACGCTGCAAACACTAGCCCATAAGTCCACCTCCCGAAGACAGTATCCCCAGCAGTTACATCAGACACCCAGGACTCATTTCTCCCACATTCAAGTGCCAGCTTGGTCACGAAATCGCTGCAACACTTTGCAGAAGTTACTAGTCCTCTTACATCTCTCTACCCACCTGCAAAATGGGGATAAGCATGTACCTATTAATGAAGTAAGTAGGAAGCTATGAGGCTTTGTACCTTTTCTCAAGCTGGAACTATTGATATTATTACAACTATTCCAAAAAGCCACTTGGAGAAGAGGTCTGAGAGAGGGGGAAGAAGGATTTCTGTGAGGAAAAAAGAGATAATACAACAGAGACCAAGGCAAAAAGATAGGGACTCAAAATCTACAGGACTACACAGATGAGTGCTTGAAAGCAGTCCCTTCTTTTTTTAAAAAAAACAACAATACAACAAAACAGGGTGGGAAAAGAATAACAACTAGCTTTACAGGAAAGATCTGAAAAGGGGAAAAGGACAAATAAGAGAAAACCGGCAGAAAATTCCAAGTCCTTCAGACTAGGAACACAAACCCACATCTATGGACAAACGTACGTATTTGAAGAAGCTGCACAAGGGCCCCACAAGACAGTTAGCCCTACAAAATAGCTTCAATCCTCCCAATACTGCAGAGTCCTGCCTCTTTCTCCCCTTCCTCAACCTCTACATACAAACCAATAAGCAGCAAGGTGAGCACCAGCACTGGGGCCCGGGCTTGGTGACACACAGCTGCAGCAGTGTGGGGAGGGACGGGGACAGTGGGCTGGAGAGAAGAGATGCAGCAGAGCCCAGCAGTTGGTGCAGGAAGAGAGGGAGGAGGAGAGCAGCAGCACCCAGGAAAGCACTGTCCCCATAACCCTACCCTGGCCGTGGCTACGCTTCTTTCCTGTCCCACAGGGTCCCCCTGCAAAGCCCTGTCCTAGGGTGCAGCGGCAGCTCTGCCAATGCAGAGACAAGTGCGGAGAGAGGGAGGGAAGGCGAGAGGGAGGAAGGCAGACGCGCGGTGCAGCAGCACCTGGTCCTTTCACAGGGACAAGGAAGTGGGGACCGAAGCATCGCGGAGCGGCAGTAACAGCGCCGTGTCCCAGCGCAGGAACTGTTGAAGGGAACGGCAAGGCGTAGCAGGGAGACGGTGCGGGGAGGAGAACGCGGCAGCCTGGTCCTGAGGAGGGCAAGGGGGGAAGAGAGGAAGTCCCGGGGTGCAACAGGAGCGCGCAGCCCGAGGCGGGCTGCCCGGACACCCCATCCAGCGGCGGGGACGACCCAGGAGCGCAGAAACACCTTTCCCTCCAGCGGCGGTGCCGCTGGGGCGGACGGGGGTTTGGAGAGCGGGATTACAGCGCGGCAGCTAA